GAAGCCATGCTGTTGTAATAGCTGCAGTATGTGGTTTTGCATTGTCCTGCTGAAATAGACAAGGTCTTCCCTGAAATAGACGTCGTCTGGAGGGGAGCATATGTTGCTCTAAAACCTTAATATAGCTTTCAGCATTCATAGTGCCTTCCAAAACATGCAAGCTGCCCATACCGTATGCACTTATGCACCCCCATACCATCAGAGATGCTGGCTTTTGAACTGAATGCTGAACCTTTTTCACATATGGGTTCCTTTTTGCATGATAGAGCTTTAGTTGGCATCTGCAGACGGCACGGCGGATTGTGTTTACCGACAGTGGTTTCTGGAAGTATTCCTGGGCCCATTTAGTAATGTCAATGACAGAATCATGCCGCTGAGTGATGCAGTGTCGTCTGAGGGCCCGAAGACCATGGGCATCTGTTGTGGCTCCTGCCGATGCTGTGAGGAATCATTCTCAAAGTCTTGGGGTTTTGATGCCAGAAGATAAGACTTTATTATTCAGAGACAATAAAGCCGAGAGACCCCTCAGGGAATCTCCCGAGTCTGTGTCTGGACACTCTTTTATACAGTTTTTCCTTTAAGGCGTGTTCCATACATTTCCTACATCCTGTCATTGTTTACCTTTTTTTTTGGCTATGCCTCCAATCTGTTTCCTGCAAGCAGACAAGAGGCCCCAATTTATGTTACGTTAAAGGAAGAGGCCCCGTCATATTTTTTGTCTTATGTCAAAACAGGAAGTGCAGCTTTACCATAAACCGTATGTCTGCACATTCCATTCTCAACTTCACCATGTAAGCACATTACATTCTCATCCAGGCTTCTGTACACAGTCAAATACATGATTATAATAGTAAAATACCTTGATACATAAATGGCTATATTCACAATGATTGAACTTGATTAATTCATATTTTGATTAATAAAAATCTTCTACACATCCAACAAAGGTCTTCGGCCTTGTCCCTTACGCACAGAGATTTCTCCAGTTTCTCTGAATCTTTTGATGATGTTATGCACTGTAGATGATGAGATTTGCAAAGCCGACTTTATTATTCAGAGACAATAAAGCCGAGAGACCCCTCAGGGAATCTCCCGAGTCTGTGTCTGGACACTCTTTTATACAGTTTTTCCTTTAAGGCGTGTTCCATACATTTCCTACATCCTGTCATTGTTTACCTTTTTTTTTGGCTATGCCTCCAATCTGTTTCCTGCAAGCAGACAAGAGGCCCCAATTTATGTTACGTTAAAGGAAGAGGCCCCGGCATA